TTCATTATTAAATGCATATATAAAATTACTAATAATAACCACATAACACTGAAAAATTTCAATCATGCATTAGAATATTAGTATTATAAAATCAGTATGGACCCACCACTATTGCTTATACTTTCAATCAGACCCAGCTTTAATAAACATGCAGAGTAAAACCCTTGATTCAGAAGAATTATGGAAAATAACAAGGAGACATGCAAAATTTCAACTGAAAATTTGAGTTAATATTAATTGCTTAGAAATGCAAGCAGGTGCTCCACATCTTCACAATGCTACTTCAAAAAAGAAGTATAAGCATACACAAAAAGTTTAAAATTAGGACCACTTCAGTTATAAAAGGCTTATATGTAAATCCTGGCCCTTTTGGATAAAGAACCATGTAAAACCCTTAGATAAAGAGAATTAAGAGATGCACAGTCTTATGTAGCAGTAAGTTTTCTTGGCCATTTATTGACAGCCATATCATAGAAAAACATATGTAATACATGGGATGATGAAGAAGCTCTTGGGCAGAATAGTTTCTTTTCTGATTCACATTAATGAGCATTACCTGTACAGCTCCCTGGGGAAAAGTAGTTGAAGAGCAGAGCTAATACAATGTAAACTCAAGCATCAGTGCCCTGAAATTTAGCATAGCCCTCTGCTTTTTAAAACCATTAGCCAAGGGATTCTTCCAAATTGTATAATTAATAGCCAAGCAATGTTCTGAAAAAACTAGAAGCAATTTGCTTGCACCAACAGCACCATGAGAATGTAAACTCCTGAAGGCCAAGGGTCTCTTCATATTTTGCATATGACAGGTACATAAAGAGTAAACATGAGACTACAATAACTTTGAAAAGCATTTAACCACATACTTTCAGACTACAAAAACTTGTAGCATACTTTAGCAGTTAGAACTATTAACAACATGGTTGTTTGAAATAAGTGAAGTGTTGACATCAATGTAATTAGTAGCTATGTCCTCATGATCATGCAGATGTCTGAATATTGCTTGACTGTTCCAATGTCTAACATGGACTGACAGTATAGGACATTTAAAGAGAAGCTACAATCAATATAGCCCTTCCTTGTCCATTGGAGTTGCCATATAAGAATTAAAGATTCAAGTGATTCCGAAATCTATAATGCTTATCTTTTAGTCCCCCTGCCCCAGGAAAACAAAGGTATACAGACCTTTTCAGGGACCTTCAAGGTGCTAAATGGCCAAGCTTGGACATGAGGTAAAGTAAGTAAGAAGTCACCCTAGTTTCACTGTTACATCCTGAAGTGAGCTGTGCAATTCCTCAGATCAGGAAAGTAGTTTGCTAGGTTCTCCTTAAAATAAGTAGTCAAAGGCCACAGGCATTGTCACAACTGCATTAAACAAGGTATCACAAAACCAATAGTCTTTGGCTATTCCCCAGTCCTCCTGCTTCTTACCTTTAAATCATAACTTCCTTAATCATAAACATGAGGAAAAGCAAGCTAAACAAGTTCTTGGCTTTTAAAATTTTTTTTTAACTCTAATCTCTCTCTCTCTCTCTCAGACACACACACACACACACACACACACACACACACACACACACACATTAACTCTTTAAAAAATGTACCCAGGAAGCCAAGAGAAAGGTGACAAAGCAGAAG